TGAACATGGGTGCTCGTGAACAGGAGTTCTCATGAACACGGGTGCTCGTCAACACGGGTGCTCGTCAACGTGGGTGTTCGTCAACATGGGTGCTCGTGAACAGGAGTTCTCGTGAACGTGGGTGCTCGTGAACAGGAGTTCTCATGAACACCGGTTCTTGTGTGCATGGGTTGGAGGGTCGCCGGCAGCCGCGCGCTTCTCTTGCAATTTCATGGGATGCCGCTCGGGTCCAACAGCCACATCCTAATCAGGTTCAGCACAGCAGCATGAAGGGGAGGTGGGTGAACTGAAGATACTTCAGTGCAACACGTTGCACATGGCAATTAGAGGCAGTTGTCATATTGCCTTTATGGTCAGAGGGAAGGAACGGACCCTTCTGGGGTACATTTAATCCAGGCTGAGGGGGGCACCTGAGAGGGGCCAGCAGAGCCACCCGTTCCCTTGCCCTGCAGCGGGAATGCGGCTGGAGCTGCTCACGGACACAGGGACGGACGCCGCAGGTCTGGGTTTAGCCCCTGCTGATGCTCTTTGCTGCAAGGGCGAGGGCTTCATCCACATCTACCCCTCTAGGGGCAGCCACATGCCAAAATAAAGTAAAAATTAAATTACAAAACGGAGATTGCTGGACGATGGGGCCGCTCGGTGCAGAGCGGAGGGCCTGGGAGCGCCGCTCCTAACTTCTCTCCTTCTGTTTCTCTTCCAGGGCTCGGCTCCCATCCTGGTAGTCATGGTGATCTTACTAAATATCGGAGTCGCCATTTTGTTTATTAACTTTTTCATCTAATTCAAGACTGTCTTGTTTGCAAAAATAACAGTTACATGTATGAATGGGGGAAAAAAACAAACAATCAACAACAACAAAAAAAAAGGGAAAAACAATCCTAACTCGAACTGTCCTACGACGATTTCCAAGTCTTTTCACAGAAGAACAACAAACGATCGAGTCTCACTCACAGTTTGCCTTTTTTCCTGGGTAATGTTTTTTGGATTTTAGCCAAAATTCTTTGCTTGTATAACACTATGCTGTGTGGCATGGCAAAATGCTATCAACACTCTGCCCCCCCAACACTGGAGAGGATGAGAAGGGATCCCAAGAAAATACAACCTCCTTCCCCTTCCCCTCACCCCCGAGAATATAACCCCAACAAGAGCAATGAACCCAACGCGGAGACTAGATGAGGGGATCGCGGGGAGTTGGGTTTCAGCTACGGGTCCTGGGATGCTCCGGGCTGAGTTTCCCGGGGGAATCCACAACAGCTTTAACAAAGTCAATTGTTGGGAGAGAAAAGCAAAAGCAACTGGTACTTTCATTCCCTTCTCCCCTTGCAAATGGAGAAAGGTTGCGGTGAGGAGGAGGAGCGCAGGGATGGCATGATCCCCGTTTAGCTGGAAAAGACGGGAGAAGGGGAACAGGCCCCATGTTCTAACCGGGTTTCCAAATCAAAGATGTGATTGGCGTTTTGCTAAATTTGCTGGGGCAGGGGGAGCACGAGGTGGGAGCTGTGGCCCCGCTGCTCGCCTGCCTGCAATCCCCCTCCCCACAACGTGGCGAGGCTGAAGACCCCCCTTCGTGTCCCCCTGGGCCAAAATTGGTAGCCAGGGCCCCCCTCCAACACAGGGCAGCATCCTCCGCGCCGAGGATTGACCCCGCTGCGTCCTCGGACAGGGAAGAGCAGCGCGAGCCGCGGAGCATCCCGAGCCCAACACGTGCGCGCAGAGACGCCGGGGGGCTCTTCGGCTGGGGGGGACTGGGGCGAGAGGGCTCGATTCGGACCCACCTGAAATAAAGCGGGACAAAATGCCGTGCAATCCAGCTGGTTTCCAAAGGCATCCGGGGAGGAGCGCTGGAGCACGGCCCAGAGCGGCGGGAGAGGGTGGTGGGTTTGTCTCTTACATCTTGCTGTGGACTGTTTCAGACATCATGCTTGGGCTCTGAGCATGTAGTATTTTGCACTTTGTAATGCGGGATGTATATTCCAGCTTCCAACATGTCCCTGTATAAAAAAAAAAGAAAAAAAGAAAAAAAAAATCAAAACCAAACATCATTGGCAATGGCAGCCTCTAAGGATGTATTCTTTTCTTTTGTTTTTTTTTCTATGTCACTTAATTGGTTTGTTTATACCATCTTTGTAATATGCCTGCCTTGATTTCCTGCCCTCCCCTGTCCCCCCTGATAATATGCATACTCATTAAAGATGCCGTATCCCTGTCCGGAGCTGTTATGGTCCCCATCCCGGGAGCGTGGTCGGAGCTTGGGAATGGCTGATGCCCCCGGGCATTTCGCAAAGGACTCTCGGTGTCCCCTGCCCCTGGGACCCGGCGTGCCGTCCATCCCCCCCGTCCCACCACCCGGGGCACTTCAGACCCTGCCCGTTTGGGATTTGGCACCTCCAGGGACCGACTTCCACCCTCAGCTCTGTCCCCGCGTGCGCAGCCGAGGGGGGGACGTGGGCCCCGTGCTGGGGTGGCCGGGGCAGGGGGGTCCTCCCTGACACTTCCCGTATGGAGAGGTTGGGTGCAGCCCTGACTCGTGGACTCAGCTTTGCTTTGCTTCTGTTTTAGCTGTTTCTCTGCTACCTTTTCAGCAGATTTCTTATTACACTGCACTGGATTGCTATATTTTTAACCAGAAATAAACGAAAGATTAGAGCATGTGCCAGCTAAATTCAGTTCTTTGCCTTACATGGTCTGTCTCACTCGCTCTTGCAGGTTTTTCTTCCTCCTTTTCTTTTCATCCCTTTTCAGGCCAAGGGCTATGGGTGGATAGAGCAAGTAACACTGGAGGCAGCAAGACCCTCATAATTTTTCTTTCCAAGAGCTGCCCATCATTTTGGTACTGTTCCATTTTTCTGTTTTTCCTTTGGGTTTTTTTTTGGTCCCTAGTCCTCTTTTCCACTCTTGAGTGGTTGCTGCATACCTGAAATGACCCAAATGAGGACACTGGTAAGTGCAGCCCTGGGAACTCACCCACATGTGTTTTGTACCTGGTTGCACCTCTTTGTAAAGACTCCCGAGGACTCTTTTTTTGTACAATCCAGCTAAGTGCATGACACAAAGGTCTCGCCATGGGTAGGTTAAAATAGCTGCGTGCAAACACACTATGGTATGTATAAAACAGCACACAAAAATGCTTATCATTATCAAATAAAAGTCCTGGTGATTTCAGGACTTTTTCATGACAGTGAAGGACAAGTTGCTCTTGCCCATGTGGCAGCAACTGCATGCACAGATGCAACATGTTTGATGCAATTCAGGTTCTTCATCTCTTGGTTCCCCTGGACAAAACCTCAGTCAGGCTGAGGTTTATTGGGTATGAAAGATAGCTGGAGCCCAGGATTAACTGGTTCCCAAACCACATGTTTCAAAGTAATGGTTCCTTAGTAATCATGATGAGCTGAGGAATTTGTCGTGGTTCTAGGGTTTTCACATCTGCTTGAGGCCAGAAACGTCCTTGGGAAGTAGCCCAGAGAGAGGTAATTCAGTGTATTTTTTTCTTCTTATGAGCCCTGGATTCCTGTGTATCTACCTAAGGCACATTAAAATGCCTAGTGCTCTGGCATATAAATCCATGTGGATTGTCCATACCTGCTGTTTTATGTCCACACAGACAGAATGCACACAAACTGCTGATGGTTCCTATCACATTTTGTAGGCTGCAGTGGTATTTTTATGTTCATGCACGGGAACATGCGGCACCGCAAAGAGGAGCTGGAGCTCACGGAGCCAGCCTGGCCGAGCTGGCTGTCACGCCATCCATGTAAAATGCCTGGGGACAAGGCTGTGTCCCCGTCCGAGGGATGCCCAAAGCCAGCAATGGGCTGGTCTGACACTGCATCTTCCAGAAGGACATGAAGGGATAAAAAATTCTGCCCCTGCTTGCCCAGGTCAGCTCCTCACCAGCCCGTTTGGCATCTGCTTTGCTTGCAAGCGAGACCCAGATCTTCCGAGAGCACCGGGGCTCTCAGCTCAGGTCTGATCTTTCCGAGATGGGCTCTTGCATTCGGTTCCTTGCAGGGATTTATGAAGCCCCAGGGCTGCTAAAAAGAAAAAAAAATAGACTGCAGTGCTGGAGGGTGGGGAAAAATGGCAGGAAATTAAGGCCATGCTGAAGATGAAGGGGTTTAGTGAAACCCAAGGACTAACTCCACAGCTTGACAGGTTCTGGCAAGTTAAGGGAGGTTATAAAAGCAGGAAGATTTTAAAATTGCCTTGAGCTGAGGTTGGGCCCAGTGATTTGTGCTAAAGCAGAAGAGAACTGAAGACAAAGTGCAGCCTGTTTATGCTGCACATTTTCTGCTGCAACTAAATCGCTTGCATGGGAGAAAGGCCTCAAGATCTGGGACGTGGTGGCAGGTTGTTCTTGTACAGAGCACCTGGTCAGCCTCTTGCACAGGCCCTGAACAAACTGCGTCGCTGTTGTTGCCCAACACTGAACCCAAGACCTGCTACTGTGCCCAGCCAGGGACTGCATTACACAAAAACATGATCAAGAATGTCATTTTGCTGTGTTATTTACAATGCGATTATGGTGTGGACATGTGGCCTAAAACCAAAGAAATTACTGAATATATTTTCCTCAACAAGTGAGTAAACAGTTACGGTCACTCTTTTCTTTTAGCTGAAAAGTAGTAACAGGTTGGCTGTTTCCAGGTGTAATAATAAAGATTGAGAACTGTCTAAACGCTTACGCACATTTAACCCTTTGCAAAGAGATGGGCAACAGCAAAGGTCTGATGGAAGCCAAAGGAATAACTGAATTTTATCTGGGTGTTTATACTTCAAAAAAGCACAAGCTCTTCCCTGTTCATCTCAGACAGAGGAACATTCTTACAACAGACCCTAGCTCTGCACTGAGTTCCAGCCCTGGTCCTACCCTTGGGTACTGTTTTGGGCAAGTCACTTCACTGATGTGTGTCCACCTGCCTTCCTCTTTAGGTATTCTTGGACCTTAACTCAAGAATCCATCAAGAATTCAGTCAGAATCCGCTGACTCAACGGGAGTCAGCGGATGGTCTCACAAGAGATGGTGGTTTGATGGGAAGAGAAGGCAGAGCCTTTCCCTGGGAAGGCACCTGCCCGAAGCCTCATCTGCTCCGGCTCTGCAGGGGCAGTTGGCCCACCCGGACTTCCACTTCCCGGGAAACACGTTGCTTCCAGTCCTTGCCTTCTGCAACCACCCTTAGCTCGGCACAGAACGCCACTGGATTAAAAGATAAAAGGAAAAACCTCACGCTCTTGCTGCATACCTTCCAGCTCATCTGATGCATCTGCTTCCCTTTCCAACTGTCTCTCTGCTGCAGGGGAGAGAATATTTTCCTGCGGCTGCAGCACTGTTGAAAACAGCCCTTCATTCTTGGCACTGCTACAGCCAGGTTCCAGCTTCAGGGAAAAAGAAGAAAATCTTTCAGTGTGTGTATGTCTGTATTTTAAGTAATCCAAAAACAAAAAATGATAAGGCAGATCTGGCAATAAAGCCCATGTTCCCCTCTCTGCTTGGGTTTTTGGAAAGGTGCCCTGTGCACAGATGCTGTCATTTTAAAAACACTATTTTCAAACATCTGGGGAAAAAAAAAAGAAAGGAAGAAAGAAAGGAAAAAGGCAGAATTTCAGCAGCAGATTCCCCAAAGCTTTTCTTAGAAAGGCATGGATGTCATACACACACGTAGATCAAATGTCAAGGAGATGAAGCTTTGTAAACTATCCCGGGTGACAAGACAAGGCAACAAATGCTGTTAGCCAAGCAAGCACTGCAGGCTCCTCCTTACATTACAAAAAAATGCTTTGTTTTCACCTCCCTCCATTATTTCACGTGAGACACCTTATCAAACATGATTTTATCTTGACAATTAAATCGCTCAGACAGCCTGGTCTATTTAATCTTTATTACATTCCAATTAGCCTTGCAGAACCCAGCACTGCTCTCCTGAGAGCCGGCTCCCTCGTGAAGTCCCTGCCAAAACAATACCCATGGCACCCTCGATTCCTGCGCGCGAGGACAGCCAGTGCCTTCTGGTGTCAGCTCAAGTCAGTGCTCGTTTGCTGCAGCAGACAGGCTCTAATCCCATCTGTTGTCCCCACGGGCGACAGCAACGCTCTGCTGCAAAGCGATGCCTTGAGGAGCCGGGCAGGGAGCAGGGGGAGAATATCCTTGGAAGGGGCCAGAGCAGCCCCTCCTGATCTCAGCACACCACCAGGTCTCCAGGTAGGACATTTCACTGGTAATAGAGGGTTCGCTTGTAGGACTACTGCTTTCTTGGCAAATACACAAGAAGTTGAACTGG